GGGGGGGGGGGGGGGGGGGGATCTTCAGAGTGGGACCGGAAGGTCTGGGAGTGGGAAGCATCCTACGCTTCAGAGGAGCTAAGTGGGGCTCGTTCTGTTACTCGTTGAGGATTTAGCCGTTTGGCTTAGGTCGTAGGATCGTACCTTGACGATTTAGTGATTAAGTCGTTTGGTCATGCGCTAGTAGAGCCCTTCGCGGGCAAGTTACACCGCGGAGACAATTGACATGGCTCGGTGGCATACACTCGCTGCGGCAACGCAGTGTTTGCATACCACACCTCCGACGTTTCTGTTCATTGACGGAACACACAAAAAGACTACAACAGCGAGCCCGTCAACGCGACGGGCAGTAAGAAGACCAACACCATCGACCAAACAAGAGCAATTCGCCGCAAATGAACTATTCCCTCTCTCTCTCTCCTCTCTCTCTTTCCCCCCCTCTCTCTCTCTCTCTCTCTCTCCCCACGCGCGCGCTCTCGCTCTCTTCTCTCGACAAGATGTCTATCGTCTGATGGCGGCTCAAAGAAAGCAAAGAGTCGTCCAACGGTTCCAAGCACGGCGCCGACGATACAAGCCGCTACGATCAAGACCACGACAAGCGCACATCATACCCGTGACCCTTCGTGGGATGCGTACAAACCCGGGACATTCTCGGCACACCTCTGCTGACACCGACGTGCACCGCGATTGTTACATCCCTTCCCCGTCCCCATACAGTATACACCCCCCACACACTCACGCTTAGCAGGGATCTGGTTCAGCGGCAGGTTGTCGTAGGTAGGCTGCTGCATCTGCTGCTGCATCTGCGGCTGCATCTGCTGCTGACCGTTTCCAGAACCCCCCCCCCCCAGGCCCCCCCCCCCGCCGTCCTTGTCCTTCTTGAAGCCTTGGATCGAGAAAGCGTCGATGCCGTCGAGGCCAGGCTTGGGGGCAGGCGCGGGAGCAGGCATGAAACCTCCGACGCCGCTGCCGCCGTTAGTCCCCAACCCGCCCATCCCCAGCTGCTGCTGCGGTGTCCTGCGAAAGCCGGGATAAAGTTGCGAGGTCTGGTTGGGTTCGTGGGATTGGATGAAGGTGATCGGGATTTGTTCTTCGCTGCGTCAGGCGGTGTTCTCTCCTAAACCACGTGTTGACCGTTGGTTCTTGGGGTTAGTTGGAAAAAATTGCTTTAGGAGGGAACCAAGGTCACTGTGGAACCCATCAGCTTTGGTTTCGCTTCATGTCCTTCTTTGGTCGGATGTAGGGCGAGTTCAGCTCCTGCAGGACAAATAGAACGGTTGTGGAGCGAAATAAAAATGCATACCATTACACGACATTACAGTTTGACCCCTACATGCAGTACCAGAACCGAGAATCCGGCAGGAGCAAATGCCCAATGATTGCACCGCGGTTGGCTGTCTTATCTGGGGATAGTCGTTTTCACACTGGGAACTATGTCTACGACTCTCGCTCTATGATCTCGCTCTCACTGACAATGCACCCGAGTCACAAGGGTGAACCTGAAACCGCCCCAAAACGTATTTCATCGGTCCGTACGCGGTATTCGCCGTTTTCGGTGGCTAGGACGGATAAACCTTCCGTTGACTTCTGCTGTACGCTGAAGCGGAAGTGAGGAAGGATCACCCCAAGCATCCCCGAGTTATCTCTGTGACAACACGTTTGGGGATCGCTGAGTTCCGCGCGATATTTCGAAGCTTCAAGACCATACTGCTGTACTCCAGACATTCTTCGTTAAGTATGCATGCATAGTGCGAGGAAGGGTGTTCTCGCTCCCAGAAATGTATTTCTAAAAAATGTAGGCCGTGCCAAATCAATATCGAACACAGCTTTGTTGGCTGGGAAACAAACAAAAAAGATACCAAGGCTTCGTTGATTCTTCTTACTTATTGAGGTATGCCATCCGTACGCTTATGATTGTTGAGGAAACTCAGGACATGAACATTATCGAGCATGGCCTTGCTTCATTTCTTCTTCGACCAGTCAGAGCTCGATTTCGAGTGTTGGAGATTATCTGCGCCTCCGCGACCCCGAATCTGAAAGCTCCAAGTTTCCTCGCACAGGAAGTGGGAAGGTGCAAACTTGTTGTACCTACCATCAGTGATACATGTATGCATAATATCCACACCACCTTGGGCTGATGCAAATTTAACAGCTCGATTTCCCCACAGTAGAAACAGAGTAACTGGATAACTGGAGGAAAAATGGCTTGCGTCCGAACCGTCCCTTCCGAGAACGGGCGGATCGTTGACTTGTGCATCCTCTGGGTGGTGGAGAAATGGAGCTGTGAAAATCGATCCAGAGGGTGTGATACCCTACACGTTCACCTGAGGTATGCAGATGCTACAGCGCTTGTGCCAGTGGTTGCGCATCCTCAACAGACTTTCACATGCATGCCGCCGTAGGTAACACAATGAATCACACACCCTTCGGAAAATACATTCAAAGCTCGAACACCACCCCACGGCAACAAAGAACCGTGGCGTCAAAAACGTCGGCGTTGGAACCGGCTTCTCGAGAGCTTAGCCTCACGTATCCTCTGTTTTCGAGCTACATGAGAATCAGTGCAGGGGGTGTGATATCTTGCGACACCTTCGGATAGCTGGATTCTTCAAAAACCGAGGCTTCGTTTGTTTCCTCTTATGCTGCGGGGAATGTATCTCGACATGCCCCACTTGCTTGCAGTAGGATAAGTGAGGACCTATTCTCATCGCCAAATTCGTAATACCTTGTGCATAGGTTTCGACCTTTGCGAGCCTGAAAGCTCCCAGGTTAATAGATACAAATAGGCGCAGAAAGAACAGCAGTAGTTTAGGACCGGCGCATCAAATGGTATCACCGGACACCTGTTCGCAGACACACGCACACCCACCCGACAACCCTTTTCCTGTGGGCAGGCACACTGCCGTTTTCCTATATGCTACCACGCACAGGAGTGATGGAGATATGCGAGTGTTTTTCGTGTGAATGGCACACGATGAAGAGGGGGCGAGACTGCCTGTTGGACCCTTCCCGCGCTAAAATTGAAGGCAAGCAGGCACCGCACGAGGAGACGCGGGGAGTTTGTTGTTGCTCCTGCGTACACCAAAGGTGTGTGTGCCATGCTGCGCATACCGCCCAGAATATTTCATGCAAAGATACATTATTGATGTCTTCACATTAGAAACCGTTCCCGATCTCTGCTCAGTAGCTAATGGTGGCCGTACCGGTCCAACTGACGCGGAACCCTTTCCGTTCCGTGGTCACAGACCAACAAACCCAATGGCACCTGTTGAGTTGCAGATAGCCTCTCATGTACATGTGACGCATTCGTGTACAGTTTTGAGTCGAAAGAAAATGATGCACCTCTACATTCGCTCGAGGCTCCGACTGCTGTTGGATCCTACGCCTGCAAAAGCATCACTGCTTCCTGGCCACTGCTTTGCACACCGGGTACGAAAGTTCTCATAATCAACGCGTGAACGAACGTGTTACAAACTTAACGGATGGATCCCTACAACCAGAGGCGGGCTCAATGCTTGGGAACAGGTTTTGGTTGTGATGGGCATTCCGCGCGATTTCCTTGATGATATTTCAACCGTCGAGTAGTTGTCTCCCCATCCGCAAACATGGTCTAAAATGCATATAGTGCAGCAACCGGGAACCCTGCTCCACATGCATGCAGCACCAACACGCGCCGACATGTGCATAATGCTCGTGGGGCAGCCGCGGCCCAACTTTGCCCCCTCCATCCCCCCTACGGTAGAACATCAACATAACAAGGGTCGCGGAAAAAACACGGGTCGTTGCCCGATGGGAAAATGTGCCATCATCATTTCCGTCTTCAGAAAAACTAGTGCCTTGTTAAACGTTGTGAGAACCGAGTACATTTGTATGCGCTAGTCACGAGTCAGGCAGCACGGGAGTCCGAGCCTGCGCTGCGGGGCCGTGCGTGTACCACTTGACCTCCAACAGCACCACCAGCAGCAGTAAGGCTCAAGAAAACATTATGAAAGCGGGGCCGGCGGCATGGGGGGTGGAAAATCGGAGATACTGCTGTAGTCTAGGCTAGTCTTCACTTCACGGAAGCAATGTTGCTGACGCGGAGCGTTGCTGCTGTTGCTTCCCGTTTCTACTGCTGTCTGCGGCACAACCAGCTTCGCGGTTGCCACGACTGCGTGTGGGTAATTACGTCCTGACACACACTGGTGACAGTACTGGGCGAGACACACGTGAACAGAGGTAAGCGCATCCCAGACAAGTTCAGGGAAAAGATGGATCAAGAAATTACACCGGGGGTGGAACCCTGCGACATAATTGCAGTCCCATTTACAGGGGGCGTGTGCCTCTCTATGCTTCTCACGTCTGAAATCCAGCGTCGCCTCCGCCACCCTGAGGGTTCCAAGACTGCTGCTGCTGCAGCGGCGGAGCGGACCATTGCTGCTGCTGCTGCTGCTGCGGCTGCGGCTGCTGCTGCTGCTGTTGCTGCCCGTAAGTGTCGTAAGATTGTTGATTCATCTGAAAGCCAATTCCCCCCCCTCCTCCTCCTTGGGTTCCGTACGACTGCTGCTGCTGCTGCTGCTGCGCCGGAGGGTTTACCGCCCCCATCCCTCCTCCTGCCCCAGCCCCTCCCCAATGTTGCTGTTGGGGCTGCTGTTGCTGTTGGGGTTGTGCACCCATCCCATACCCTCCGCCCGCATTGTTCGCGTACATCCTTGCTGCTGTGGACACTGCTGTGAATCTCCACACTTTCTCTGAGCTTCGGGGGTTCAACTGACAAAACGCTGTTGACAAGGGTGTGTATGTCATCGACAAAATCTGCGTGCCCCCTCCATGATCTTTCCTTCATGATGCAATGCACTGCTTTGTGCGCTCGTTCCCTGTGCGCGTTCGTGGGGTGTGTGTATTCAGCTCTCTGCACATGCACCGCGCCAGCGCATCCATGGCTTCAAGACTTAACCTGCCTTTTGCCGTGGTAGCGTTTTGTTTGTGCGGACTCTCGACAGACGGCTTCATGCTGCAACAACGTCACCGGCTCAGAACAACGGGACTTACAATGAAGAAGACCAACAAGAGCAAGAGCAAGCCGGCGGCCAAGCCCTCGGGCTCGTCCGCAACGATCGCAGCAGCGACAGTAGCAGCACCGCTGTCAGCAGGGACGTCAGGGGAAAGCCAGGAGCCTTCCGCGACCCCTGATGCTACCAAGACTGGGAGCGCACCATCATCAGCAGCGGCGAGTACTGCCCCGGTCTTCTCCAAACGGAAGACGTTCTGGCAGCCCTTCCTCACCGCCACGGCCAACCCCATCGCCGCCGCCGCCGGCGGTACGCTGGCAGCGCAGAACGTTCCCGAGGGATCCTCGCCGGCTTTCGATCCCCCTCCCCTCCCCAACAGGAAGTCCTTCTGGCAGCCCTACTACTCCCCGCCGACCGCCGCTGGGGCACCGCCGGTTGCCGACGACTCCGGACCGCCCGCTGCCGTTGCTGAGCCCGAACCACCGGCGACGGCTGAGTCGGAGTCGCCAAAGGAGACGGACTCGCCAATGGAGGAAGCACCACCAGCGGCGGAGGAGGTCTCAGCACCAACAACCTCAGCCGCACCGCCCGCTGCGGAGGCCGTCCCGCCACCACAGCCCGCTGCTGCTACGGCCGCTTCGTCGCCGCCGCCGCCGTCGCCGGCCCCGCCCGTGGTAGCCTTCGAGCCGGTGCCCACCCTCATCAGCGACAGCCCGGTGTACAAGGACGTCGCCATGACCATCGAGCGCGCCAAGAAATCGGTGGCACCGTTCCGCAAGAAGGTTCAGGACAACGTCGGTGGGTCAGCAAAGCTTCGCGTTTGCTTTATTGTCGTCCCCCCGATTCTGGCTTCGCCGCCGAGGGCTTTAGTTTTCATGCATCACCACCGTCAGCTGTACCGTACACTTGGTCCCGCAAGGTAGTCTGACGCAACAGCAGTGGCAGTGCCATAGCGCGACGCATGAAATTGTCTTTTCCACGCGCCAAGCACACCCTCCCCCCATCCGCACACCCGGCTTCTCCCTACCCACGAACTTCCTGCGCCACCCTGCCTGCCTTTCAAACGCGGATCTTTTTCTACACCGTAAACAGCCGAGGGTACCGTGGGCGAGCGGGGAGAGGAGTGGGCGATCGCTCAGGGTGCGATCCTCATCTTCGTGGCGATGGGGAGCATCCCCGTCGTCGGGGGCCTCGTGATGGCGCTCGCCGGGCCCGGGCTGTTGGCGGGGGGGTTGGGGGTCATAGCTGCCGGCGTCAACGGCCTCGGGAAGAGCCTATCGCCGTGGCCCGCCCCTATTAAGGACAACGAGCTCAACACCGACGGGATCTACGGGGTCATGAGGCACCCCATGTACACTGGTGAGATTGGGCGGGGCCGCCGGAGGGGGGGGGGGGGGG